GGCTGCGTCTGCGAGGGCAGGGGGGGTGGAAAACCCCAGGGGTGCGCCCAAATCCGGGCACCTGCCCGCCTGCCTTTGCGGAGAGGAAGCAGATGAGACCGAGCCGAGGAGGGGACAGAGCTGGGGAAGAGCCACGTTGCCCGGCGAGGGGGGGTGACACAGGCCTGGGGACCCCCAGGCCCTAGGCTCGCAGTGCCTGATGTTGGCCCTGGCTGAGGTGGCTTTTGGATCGGGACAACGGAGTGCATTAGTTCTCCCTCCCCGGTGTCCCTGTTCCCGGGGCCGTCTGACCGTGTCTCTCCTCCTGTGCCCCCCAGAGCCTGCCCGAGGAGGAGCAGCAGCGGGTGCTAGGCGAGGAGAAGATGCTGGGCAGCAACCGGAAAGGGGCGACGAGTCCTGCATCCAAAAAGTCCTCCCCAGAGACGGGCAAGGTGAGAGCGGCAGCTGGAGAGATGGGGCAGCGCGTGCCGGGGACCCGCAGTGGGCTCGCTGGCGTCTCGGGGTGCTTTGAGGGCTTCGTTCCTTGGTTCTTTTCACCCCGTTTTTTCTGGGGTTGGAGGCTACCAGTGCGAGGCAGGTCCCTCGGTGGGCTCGCCCCCAACCCACGGCCCCGTGTCCCTCCCGCAGGCCAGCTCGGAGAAGCCCAAACGGCCCATCTCCGCCATGTTCATCTTCTCGGAGGAGAAGCGGAAGCAGCTGCAGGAGGAGCGGCCAGAGCTGTCGGAGAGCGAGCTGACCCGGCTCCTGGCCCGCATGTGGAACGACCTCTCCGAGAAGAAGAAGGTTGGTACTGTCCCCCACCCTTCTCCTCCATCCCCATCTCCCCTGGGCTTCCCCGGCGGTTTGGGGGACTCTGCTTGTCTTTGTCCTGCTGCGAGGGGCTTTGCTCGCCCCTGGGCACCGCAGCTGGGGGACCATCATCCCCAGGAGCATCACAGCTCCGGCGAACCATCACCCAGGCACTGGTCTTGGCACCCAGGCCGTGTCCTCTCCCTCTTGTGGCCCAGCGGGTCCAAATCCAGCAGCTTAAGAAACCTTGGGGTGTCCTTGAACCTCAATTTAAAGGTTTGATGGTTCTCCTGGTGGGGAGGAGTCCCGAGATGCGGCTGTGCATGGTGGGGGGCTGCCGGTGGTACCGTGGGTCCTGCTGCCCACCCTCCCGGTGCCTGGGGGCTTGTGCCCGAGTGGCCGTGCTGCCCCTTCACCCCCGCCGCGCTCCCCCCGCACAGGCCAAGTACAAAGCGCGGGAGGCGGCGATGAAGGCGCAGTCGGAGAAGAAGCACGGCTCGGATAAAGAGGAGCGCGGGAAGCTGCCCGAATCTCCCAAAACGGCCGAGGAGATCTGGCAACAGAGCGTCATCGGAGACTACCTGGCACGTTTCAAGGTGAGGAGCGGGCCGGGAAAGGAGCTGGAGGTGGGATCGTGGCTCCCACCAGCGGGAATTGCTTTGCACCTTCTGTCCTGCTTTCACACCCGGGGCAACAGGTTGGGGCTGGAAGCCGTGGGGAGGACAGGGGTCACGGCGAGGGAGCGGGTGGTCCGTGGTGGAGCCAGCGGTAGCACCCCGGCATCCTGGGTGTCTCGGGCGCATCTGACGCGGGGGGTCTGTGCCACAGAACGACCGGGGGAAGGCGCTGAAGGCCATGGAGGCCACTTGGAACAACATGGAGAAGAAGGAGAAGCTGATGTGGATCAAGAAGGCGGCGGAGGATCAGAAGCGATACGAGGTGGGTCTCTGCTCCTTCCTGCCCCTCGCTGTGCCCCAGCAGCTTAAGAAACCTTGGAGTGTCCTTGAACCTCAATTCTGGCCGGTGCTGTCCTGGTCTCCCTGACCCTTCTTTCTCCTCTGGCTCAGAGGGAGCTGAGCGAGATGCGGGCCCCTCCGTGCTCCACCAACTCCGCCAAGAAAATGAAGTTCCAGGGAGAGCCGAAGAAACCCCCCATGTGAGTACCTGGGGTCTGGGCTCCAAAACATTTGGATCTGGCTGAGCAAGTGGGCTGGTGCAAAAAGAGCCTGGAGCAGCCCCGGGGTGGAGAGAGCGTGGGCTGGGCCGTGGTGGGGGTGGGTGGTGGTTAGCACAGGCTGCTTGCGGACACCTCGGTTCTCTGTGCACCC